CTGTCTTTCTGTCTGTCTTTCTGTCTTCCTGTCTGTCTTTCTGTCTGTCTTCCTCTCTGTCTTTCTCTTCCTGTCTTTCTGTCTGTCTTCCTGCCTTTCTTTCTGTCTGTCTTTCTTTCTCTTCCTGTCTTCCTGTCTTTCTGTCTTTCTTTCCCATCAAATCAGATCTGACTGGTACAGGAGGAGATTGCCTTTCCTTCTCCAGTGGAGAATCTGGTGGATTTGAACCGCACACCTCTGGGATTGCAGTGCAGCTTCTTGCCACTAGGCCACCAGAGCTCCCTCTGCATCTGTGTCTTATAAACAGAATATTTGAAACATTCGTGCAACAGAAAATGCTCTGGTTTTCTGGTCTGAGAAAATGCTCAGCTACCACATTCTAGATTGGTTGATCTCTGTTGAAGAGTTTCAGTCAGACTTGTAGCTTCTTGTGGTTATTATTGTTGTGTTAGGTGCCATCAAGTCTTGGGCAGTTCATAGAACAGACTTGAACTCTGCCCTATCCTGTGCCGTCCTCACCATTTCTGACACACTTGAGCCCATTGCTGCAGTCAGTGTGTCAGTCCATCTCACTGGGGGTCTTCCTTTCCTTCACTGACCCTCCACCTTCCCATACAAGATACCTTGTGAAGCACTAGGCTTCTTCTCACTAGATTCCTGGGGCACCCAGGCTTCTCTTTCCCTGCGTCCAGCCAAGGATACCCTGAGGTGTTAGGGATTGACCAGGGAACTGGGAAAGGTTCCCCAGGGAAAAGTACCCCTTGTCCCAGTGTCACTCAGAGACAAGAGACAAGCCACTGCTGGTTCCAGCTCCTTTCCTACCCCTCCCCCATCAGCCTAGAGTGGACAGTCCCTGAAAACACGGGGCTTTCTTCATTCAGAGCATCTCCTGAGCTAAGGCTGGTCAGAGCCATGTGCAGGTCACAGCTGGGTTGGCGTGGCTGACAATGGTGGGTGACACCGACAGAGCACCCAACTAGAGAAAGTGTCATGAAGGTGAACTCTAGCCAGATCATCTGCCTGAGGTCAGCCTTGACCCTGACAGACAACCAGCTCTTGTTAGCATGACAGTGACTTGCTGGTGTCACAGTTGCATAGCTGATGGGCTTGGGAGGTGGGAACCTGTAGCTCCAATGGCCATGAGGGTTCAGATCTGTGTCGGAAAAAGTCTGACGGAAGTGATGGCCAGAGGCTGGCCCCTTCATGGAAGTTCTGAAGGCTACCACTCATCCCTTTCTGAGAGCAATGCCATGGTGGTTGCATGGTGAGATGCAACAGACAGGAAGGTCAAGTCAGAGAAGGGGCAGCAGAACGGACTGTCATGTCACCAGTGATGTTCATGGAGCCCACTGGCCATTTCCTGAGTCCTGAATGCTGTGCTGGGAAGGTGACCTGGAATAGAACTTTGTCCCTGTCCTGAAAGTCTCCTGAGCGAGAAAACCAGGTAGAAGGTTGTTGTTGATTGTTGAGTACCACTGAGTCAGAGCCATCTCCAGCTGACTCACCAGCAGCTTTGCACAGGCAAAGGAAGGTGTTGGTCATCTTTCTCCCACAGAGCACCTGGTGGGTTTGAACCACCTACCTTTGGGTCCGCAGTGCAGTTCCTTACCACTAAGCCACCAGAGCTCCCAGAAAAGTGTGGAATGACACCAGGTTAGAGGGAGGCCCGGGCTGCATGCTTGTGGGTGCTGCGTTTCTAGTTCCTGTCCCGCTGAGTCTTGGGGTGGCCCTGGGGGACAGGCCTCTGCTCTGGCTCCTTTCCTTGACCGCCCTCACCGTGCTGGAAGCCGTGGTGTGCTTCTTCTCCGTGTGGTCCATCGTGGGCCTCTCAGGTTTCCACACCTACTTGATCAGCTCCAACCAGACGACAAATGAAGACGTAAGTTCCTGCCCCCGGGGGGACGCGGGCACGTTCTTGCATGGTCAGCTGCTCAGGGGTGCAGGGCAGAGGCCTCCAGGGTCAGTGTCTTCTGTGTAGCCCATTCCTGAGGTGACCCTTCCCTTCAGGAGCCAAGAATGCAGAGCTTCTCCGGATGTCCTTCTGCACCTCACTCCATTTGGGGCCCTGGGTTCTCTTCTTTCTTTATGACTGAAAAGTTTAAAGTCTGAAGCAAGCCAGGTGACGCCGAGCTTCAAACCCCTGGAGAAGCTGCTGCTCTGCAGGCAGACCTCAGACACTTGGGGTTTGGCTACACCCCAATTGCAGGAAAGCGAGTCACACAAACTGCCTGTCAGTTATGGTGACCCGCCTACAGTCTGAGGTGTTCGTTCGATGGCCTGATGAGAAAGTCGTAAGGTCATTAGAATGGCCAGATGTGACATAGCACGTGCCGTTGGGAAATGGCTCGTGTCCCTGCTGGCTGCTAAGTTGACACAAGCCTTCGGTTTGTGTGAAAGCAACATCTTTGGCTTCATCCACATTTCCGTTTCAAGGTTGAAGATGATTCGTCTTTTGGGGTGTCTCTCTCTCCTCCCCTCGCCTCCCTCCTTCTCTCTCCTTCCCTCCTTCCCTCCCTCCCTCCTTCTCTCTCTTCCCTCCCTCCCTCCTTCCTTCCTTCCCTCCCTCCCTTTTTCTCTCTCTTCCCTCTTTCTCTATCTTTCTTTCTCTCTCTCTCCTCCTTTCCCTCCCTCCCTTCCACTCTCCCTCTCTCTTTTTCTTTAGTGATTTTAACAAAAGTTTACAGAAAAGTTAGATTTTCATTCATTCATTGTTGCATATTTTCCTCCCTCCACCCCTCCCACCTCCACTCCCACTCCCACTGCCCTGGGACATCATTTTCTAATCTATCTTTACTGTTTACCTTTAAAAAAAAAGTAGCACATTTGAAGGGCGGTAAAGTGAAGCACAGTGAAGCTAGTTGTGCCGCGTTGATGATGTTGTTGTTGTTGTGGGCTGTTGAGTCAGAACCAACTCATCGCTGACACTCCAGCTGGTCTTCAGAGGCAGTAAATCGCACAGAGGAAGATCGTTCATCCTTCTCCTGCGGAGCCGCTGGTGTATTTGAACTGTGGACCTTTGGGATTACAGCGTAACTTCTTACCACGAGGCCACCAGACTTCCCTAATTATGCCTGTAGTCTTCTGAAATGGTTTTTTAAGCAATTTGCCACACTTTTCCTATCATAAAGAGACATCACAGGAAGCAGACACCCCAGAATGGACGTCTGGGCCCATCATTAATATTTAATTTCTGAAATTTTTGAAGGGATTATGCTAACAACAACGAAAATAACCTTCTTTATTTAACCCAAATACATCTGCCCCAAATATATCAGTAAAGTGTTTTAACCCAACTCTGTCACTACTTTATGTAGATGTAGAAAAGGTATGAAAACAGCACAGTGCTAGGAACGTTTTCTGGTGAGCTTGGTCGTCTCAGTGGGCCTGTGCATCTCACGTGAGGCAGGTCCCCCTTAGTGAGGGCCTGAGCTGTCAGGGGATGTGAGGTGCACGACAAAGGCCGTGTTAACACCACCATCCGTACTGGGTGACGGTGGGGTCGTGACTCCGCAACACAGACCATGTGGACCACACTGCGGACTGGATGCTGACAGCCTTTTTTGGCCGTGAAAGGGCCACATGGACTCCTCAAGCTGCCAGTCGTGTAATGACTATTTAGGGCTTCAAATGTGAAGTGAAGATAATCCTTAGCTTAGGTGAGATAGCTTGTCTGTACTTTGTGGCCTGTGTGGTCAAGATAAGAAAGCAGCTTCTCTTCTCCCCGGTGTACACCCTGCTGCTTTAGGGGCCTGTTTCCAGCTGGGGATAATTGCCAGTGCTCCCCAAGGGGTGAAGATGGGAGGAGATGGGGAGGGAAATTCCTTCTCAGGAAGGTGACAATTGTCATCCTTTGTGGGCTTCCCAGGAGCACAGACTGAGGAAAAGAGGAAATGGGTGTTGATCGCTGCCCTTTTCTTTCAGATTAAAGGTTCTTGGTCAAATAAAAGAGGTAAAGAAAATTACAATCCCTACAGTTACGGGAACATCTTCACAAACTGCTGTGCGGCGCTGTGCGGGCCCATCTCTCCCAGGTAAGAGCAGGAGTGGACGCTCTCTGAAGGGCCAGGCTGGGTCAGAGCAGGTCACCTTCTGGGCTGGTGCCCCGTGGAGTCAGCACCAGGGAGACTGTTCTTAGTGTCGCAGAGCATGGCTCCCTGCACACCGAGGCCCCAGGCAGGCGGCCTTCGCATCTCCAGTTAAGTGCAGTGGGATCGACTTTGAGGAAGTCTCCTGAGGGAAACAGAAGCTCAGTTGTCAGGTGTGGGGGGCTGTGATGAGTGGGGGGCATCATATTCAGGGAACTGGGACACTGAAGACAGAAAGCAGTCGGACACCGTGCAGAAGTGAGTGCTGAGGCCTGGTCGTATAGATGGACCTGCTGTCGTCCACAGAGGGGCCCTCGTGGGCAGAGGTGGCTGACGTTATAGGGACACGAATGAGAATGTGATTAGTGACAATACCAAAGCCAGAGCTGTTGCCAGAGGCTCCATTCTGACTCCCAGTGACCACACGTACCCATTTTACAGAGGAGAACACTACCCTAAGACACAGAGGAGTTTAAAAAATATTCCCAAGATCACACATAGTTAGTAAGACCTGGAGAGCCAGAGAAGAGGCCTCAGGCGCGGGTTCAGGTGGCCTTCACAAAGGCCATGCTGGCCACCCTACTGTGGAGAGTAGAGATTGGACCCTGAGAGGCTAGCAAACAGCCGTCGAAGATGCAACTATCGGTCTCTTCCCATCTGGAGGATGGAAGGGGTGGAAATCAAAGACTCAAAGAATTAAAAGCAAGACCCAGCGGATCATGGACCGCATGAACCACAGCCCCCACCACCTGAGACCAGAACTACCTGGTGCCTGATGACTGCTCCTGACCGCTCTCACCAGGCCTCAAGAGCCCTGGACAGAACAGACGGAAAACGAAGACCAAAAGTCAGATCATAGACCAGGCTGGTCACAAAGAGACTGGTGGACCCCAAGTGTGGCCCTTAGACACCCTTCAGTTCCGGAACTCAGCCTGCCACAACCTTCTCCTCCAGCCAAAGGAAAGGTGGAGAGTGCAGTAGGCTAAGTGTGGGACTGGTAACTGGAAGGTCAGAAGTTTGAACCCTCCAGCCACTCCACAACGGAGTCTGGTGGCCCAGTGGTAAGGAGCTGCGCTGCAGTCCTGAAAGCTCGTGGTTCAAATCCACCAGCTGCTCCCTCCACAGGAGAAGGATGGACAGTCTCCTCCTATGCAGTTGCCAGCCTCTGAAAACCTGCTGGACGGTCAGCTGTGGGTCGGTTCTGACTCGAGACCACACAACCCCAACAACAGCCACTGCACAGGAGAAGGAGGCAGGCAGCTCCCAGTAGACCCACCGCCTCAGCAGCTCCACAGAGAATCGGCAGGAGTCAGGGTCCGCTCGGCAGCAGGGGATGGAAAGTGAACAGTAACACTCGTGAGGAGAAAGGTGCCCTCAGAACTGTCAAAAACAATGTTTGCCCCCAAAAAAAACCTCAGGAAGCAGGAAGGGGCAGGAAAGGAGGGTACGTGGGAGGAGGAGGAAAGGCGTGGCTGTCCTGAGGGGATCCAGCTAACACTACAGCACAGAGTGAATTACTGACTGGAAAACTAATTTGCTTTGTGAACTTTCACCCAATCCATAAT